TTTGTGTATACAGGGTGTAGGAGGTTTTTTTAAGGGAATAGGAGTAGGAGTAGTAGCAGCATTAACATTACCTATAGCAGGTATATGTGTTGCTGGTTATCAAGTAACAAGAGGATTAATCAATACACCTGAGGCTATACATGAAAAAAGTCAAGGAAAAAAATGGGATAAAAAAGAAAGGGTAAATTTATTTATTTATTTTATTTATTTATTTTTATTTATAGTATTTATTTATTTATTTATAAATATATATATATTTTATATATTCTATGTATACGCATAAATATATGTTATTATATGCCCTTAATTATTATATTTATTAAGTACACTACAGCTAAATAATATTAATATTATACATCCCTTCTTACCACAAGAAAAGGAGGAGGTGTTATGCTGTTTTCTTGAGTGTAATTGCAATTGCATGCACTATTGCATGCATTTGTGCATGCGTTTACGCATCCAACTCTGCTTGCATTTATGTATGCATGCATTTATATTTGTTGTTTATTTAGGTATGGAAGCCTAATTGGTACAGCTTGGAGGAGGAGGCGGCGGAGGTATTAAACCAGGAGAATCCTTACAAACGTGACGCAAGCAGCAGCAACAATAACGGCAGCAGCAGCAGCAGCAGTAGCAGCAGCAGTGCTGCTGGTACACGTAAGGTAGTAGATACTACATTATATGAGATACTTGAGGTATCCCCTGATGCAAGACCTGAAGATATAAGAAGACAATATTATAGATTAGCACGTAAATATCATCCAGATAAGAATAGAGATGATCCAGATGCAAAGAAAAGATTTCAACAATTAGGAGAAGCTTACCAAGTATTAGGAGAAGAAGAAAGAAGAGCACAATATGATCTGCATGGACAAGCAGCAGCACAAGATATGCCTATTATAGATAGTTCTTTATTCTTTATGATGTTATTCGGATCAGAGGCATTAGAGCCTTATATAGGAAAATTAAAAATGGCAATGTTTGTAGAAATGGTTGATGCACCAGGAAGCAGGGTAAGCAAAAAATAATTCAGCTTTCCATTTCTCGGGTGTATAGGCAGCTTACAGCTTACCGCTTACCATACCTGCCTATACACCCCAATTTGCGCGGAAGTTCAACTTTTTTATTTTGGGGAATTTTCTTGTGATTTTAATTGCTTTTTATGTTTAGTCATTGAAATCAATGGTTTATATCATAAAATATGAACATAAACACATGCAATGCAACACACACATACATACGTACATGCTATGTATATGTGCATGCATGCATGCACATTGCAGATCCGCACATACACAAAGCTCCTGCGCATGCAACATAAACTTCAAATGGTATCTTGTATCCCCTCATACTGTAGGGTTTAGGGTTTAGGGTTTAGGGTTTGATAAGTATTTTGTTTGTGTTCAGAATGCTCGGGGTGATGACATATCTGAAGAAATGTTTGCCTTTGAACAAAGGAAGAGAGAAGTTCAATTGGCTATTTTGCTGCGGCAGCGAATTCAGCCTTATGTAGATGCCATGCTTGAGGCCCCACAGAGCCCACAGCAGCAAGAGCAGCAACAACAACAGCAGCAGCAGCAGGTAGAAGCATGGACACAAGCAATGATTCAAGAAGCTAGAAACCTCTGCCAGGTTAGCACAAATCCTTTTCCTCTCTTTTTCTTTGTTTCCTTTATAAAAGGTGCAGCAAATGTATGCAGCTGCAGCAGCAACAGCAGCAACAGCAGCAGCAGCAGTAGCAAGTTCTTTCTGAATAGAAATGTCTTTAATCAATTAATTGAATAAAATAAACAAATTAATTATTAAATTAATTAATCATATATATTGTCCATTTATTTATTTATTTATTTATTTATTTATTTATTTATTTTTCTTTATAGTCCTCCTTTGGCGACGCAATACTAGAGGCAATAGCTTGGACTTATGAAAATTATGCGACACAATACTTAGGCAAATTGGATACTTTCTTAGGACTTGGAGGGAGGTAACATAAATAAATAAATAAATAAATAAATTAATTAATTAATTTATTTATTTTATTTTTTGTGTCATTTGCCGTTTATTATGTAATATTTTTCTCTTTTCTTGTCTTTTTTGTCTTTTTCTTTTCTTGTCTTTGTCTTGTCTTTGTCTTCTATGTCTTTTGCCTTGTCTTTTTCCTGTGTCTCTTTGTCTCCTTTGTGTCTTCTCTTTGTGTCTCCTGTGTCATGTCTGTCATTTAATATTTATATTTATATTTATATTTTATATTTATATTTATATTTATTTATTATCTGCTGCTGCTGCTCCTGCTGCTGCAGGTATGCGAAGATGCAGGCGCAGGGCCGTTCTGTGGGCAACAGCTGCAGAACAGCAACTGCTGCACTTCGTGCTGCTGTTGCTGCTAGGCAGCTGCAGCAGCGGGAACAAAAGAGACAAAAGAAGCAAGAAAAAGCAAGAAAGAATGCAAAGGAAGGAGAGACAGTACCTGATGCAGGACCTACAGCAGAAGATGTAAGATTTATACAGATAAACCCTAAACCCTAAACCCTAACGAACACTATTATTTGCTCGCAACAAGACGCACGCAACAGCAACAACAGCAGCAAGAGCAGCAGCAGCAGCAGCAGCAAAAGGATCAGCACAGCAACCACTGCTGCAGCACTGTATTGCCTGCATGGGGAGCATTTACGGCATATATGGTGTTTTAGGGTTTAGGGTTTAGGGTTTAGGGTTTAGGGTTTATATCTGTATACAGATAAAGCAATTTGAGGAAACTTTGCCTTTAATATTGGAGACAATGTTGAGTATTTGTTTAATTGATATCGAAACAACTGTACGAGCAGCAGCGAAAAAGGTGAGGGTTTAGGGTTTAGGGTTTAGGGTTTAGGGTTTAGGATTTAGGGTTTATACGTATAAGGGCGTTATGCGGCTCATATAGCACTTGGCGTTTTGCCGTTGCTCATGAATTTGCTGTTGCCCCTCCTGTTGCTCATGCTGCTACTCTTGCTGCTGCTGTTGCTGTTGTTGTTACTGTTGCTGCTGCTGCAGGTATTAAAAGATATGAGTGTATCTGTAGAAGTTCGTCGTTTACGTGCTGAGGCATTAGTTAAATTAGGAAAAGGAATACAACAAGAAACAGAAAAGTTCAAGACACAACATAAAGATGAAAAAGTTGACCCTCTTAGAAGAATGGAGGATGCACTCATCAAGTATATATACACCCGAAACCCTAAACCCTAAACCCTAAAAAATACCTAAACCCTAATAATTCATAAACCCTAAATATTTCTAAACCCTAAACCCTACAATTCGCATATTTTTAAATCCAAATTTGCACGCATGAAATACTTGTGGCCCTGCAGCTCAACCCCAGTTCTACCTGCAGCACTACCTGCTGCTGCTGCTACTGCTGCTGCTGCTGCTGCTGTTGGCCTTAATGGGAGTTTGCTGCTGCTGAGTTTGTTTTTGCTGCTGTTGTTCAGGGCAGCGCAGAAGGCAGATGAGGAAAGATACAAAAGGGAAGGAGACCACACTGGGCCCCCTACTTCCCCTGGTGCTGCTACTGGTGCTGCTTCTGCTGCTGCAGCAGCAGCAGGTGGTGCATCTGGTGATTGGTCGCCGCAGCAGACCACCCCACGAGCCTCCCGTGACTTCCTCTGAGATGATGGGAAAGTCTAATGGGCAGCAGCTGGTGCTGCAGCAGCAGCAGCAGGACCGGCTACTGCTGCTGCTGCTGCCCCACACCTCGTGCATGCATATATTTACGAGGAGAGGTTTTGTCTAAGTCTGTGGCTGCTGCCACGTACAGGTACTTTGTGGGGTGTATGTACAGTTAACTGCAGCGGCAATGCCAGCAGCAGCAGCAAACGCAGCAGCAGCAGCAAATGCAGCGGCAAATGCAGAAGGGGCATCCGTCGCCACATGGCATGCATCGCATTTATTCCCTTTACCTGCTGCTGCTGCTCCTACAGCAGCTCTAGCTGCTGCTGCTGCAGATCGTGCCGTTGCAACTAATGCTGCTGCAGCTGCTGCTTGTGCAGCTACTGGCGTTTCAGCTAGTGCTGCTGCAGCTGCTGTTTGTGCAGCTACTGCCGTCGCAGCTATTGCTGCTGCAGGTATTGCTGCTGCAGCAATTGTTGCTGCAGCAATTGTTGCTGCGGCTATTGCTGTTGCAGCTGCTGCTATTGCAGGAGCAGCTGCAGCTGCTGCAGCAGCAGCTGCTGCAGGTATTGCTGCTGCTGGTGACGGAAGTCTCCTGTGTCTGTTGTTGATTGCTGGTGTATATAAAGAAAAATAAAAGCAGCAAACTAATGTGCTGTCTCCGTGTCTCCTCCTCCTTTGTGTCTCCTTCTTACTGTCTCCTCCCTTACTGTCTCCTCCTTGGTGTCTCCTTTTATAAAGGAGAGGCAGCAGAGAGTTTGCTCCCTTTTGTTTGTCTCTGATTGCCTCGATACAGACAAAGGAGCGCCTGCTGCTGCTGCTACTGCTGCTGCTGCTGCTGCTGCAGCGCAGCAGTAGCTGCTGCTTCCCCGCTCTAGACATTCGCAGTGCATGTACACCGCAAGTTAATTAGACAACTTTATTTTATGCTAATAAAACAAAATAAAGAAATGAAGGAATTAATTATTTAATAATAAAAATACATTTCTTATTTGTGTATTTATGTTATATGGAGGACCCCTAGGGTTTAGGGTTTAGAGTCTAGGGTTATAAAGGTGCATTTAGGGTTTAGGGTTTAGAAGTATCGATTGTCGCCGCGGCAGAAGATGTGCTGCCTACTAGGCGAGTAGGGTTTAGGGTTTAGGGTTTTGTTTGCATGCACGTGCATGCAAGAAATACCCTAAACCCTAAACTCCAAACAATATCGATGCTGTGCCCCTGTAGCAAGGCACTACTACTATTGCGTAGTGCATGCATGCATGCATGCATGAGTATAAAAAGCCCCATTACATGCATGCATTAGTGTTGCTGCATGCATTAGTTAAACACTGTCTTCCCTCTCGAGCAGCGAACAACTTTAGACAGCTCCCCCTGTTGCATGCATGCAGGTTATCCCGTTTAAGGGCAAAATAAGGGTAAATTAATTTAAATTAGGTTGCATGCATGCAAACAAGGGGTTATAAAGGTACTTCTGCATGTATTGTTGCTGCTGTGTAAAAGAAGGAAGAGCAGCAGCAGCAACAGGAATCTGTGTGTTGCGGTGCGGCTACTTGTACTTTCTATGTACGTATATGCATAAAAGTAAGCGGTTTCTTCCCCCTCTTAACCCTTATGGGTGTTTTTTGATTTGTTAACGAATATTAAAGGTAGAAAAAGGATTAAAACTATATTTTAAGGGTTTAAATGGTGTAATTAAATGTGTTGTATGGGTACAGGTAGCGTTAGTTAAGATCGAGCGAGGACTGACGGCACACCCCTCCCCCCAGGGGGGGCATTTAAGGGCTCTTTTAGGGGAATTTCTGTTGCTTCTAAGTATAATTAAATATAAAGAAGTTGTTTAAGGAAATTAACGAGAAAAAAGAAAAAAAAGAGCGGCTTCGATCGCCCGTCGCGCGCGGGCGATGATGCTGCAGCAGTGGCGCGGCCCGGGGGGAAAGAGGGGATATTTTTATGGCAAAGGGGTATTGAATAAACGGGAGAAGAACGGACTATTTACCTGTAATTTAAATATTTTAATTAATATGTTTTATTCAGAAAAAAATGCCTTTATTTAACATATTAATCACCAATTTGCACGGCGGGGTGTGTGAGGATGTATTTGTATGGATGATTGGGGTGTACGTACACCTGAAAGAAGGACGTCTGTTGCTGCCGCAGCCGAGCAGCAGCACCAGCAACCCCCACAGCCATTAAAAGTACCTTTTTTGTGTTCATTATTCTTCTTTTTTTCTATTATTAATTGTTAATCGCAATGCTGGTGCGTTTTCCCTTGTATTTAATGCAGTTATATACCTCTTGCCTCCTTAGCGACGTCTCCCCCTTGACGAGCACGCCTTATTATTATCGAAGGCGGTAGGAGGTTGCTGCAGCAGCGGCACGACAGCAGCAGCAACAACAACAACAACACCAGCAGTATAGCATTGTATTGTAGCAGCAGCACAGCACCACAGCTGCAGCAGCAACCGCAGCAACAGCAGCTTCCTCCTTACTTCGACCTTCCTTCCTAGTAGTACACTTCTTCCTTACACGACAAACACACAGCAGCAACCGCCGCTGTTGCTGCTCCTGCTGCTGCTCTTGCGTCATTGCAGGGATTCTCTGCAGCACTAGGAGCATAAAAGTACTAGAAGGAAGCAACAGTAGCAGCAGCAACTGCTGCAGCGGCTGCAGCAGCGGCAGCAGCTAGCAATCGTACACAGTAGCAGCAATACTACCCTCCCCTCATAGGGTATACATTAGAGCAGCGCAGCAGCACGCTTAAGGACTGCAGCAGGAGCAGCAGCAGTTGTATAAGCAGCAGCGAGAGCAGCAGCAACAGCCACACGTGCAGCTGCCACAGCAAAACGTGCAACACGTGCAGCAGCAACACGTGCACGTGCAGCTGCAGCAGCAACAACAACAGCAGCAGCAGCGGCAACAGTTATTCACCCCTGCGAAGCAGCTGCTGCAGCATCTGCAGCAGCAGCAGCAACAACAGTCGATGACCCTTCAACCACTAGTATTCTGCCGAGGTGCAGCAGCAAGATGAAGGGGCAGTCGTTGGCAGCAGCAGCTGCTGCTGCAGCTGCTGCTGCTGCTGCCCCTGAATCAAAGGAGCAGCACGAGCAGCAAAACGCCTCTACAGATTCCCAGCAGCAGCAGCAGCAACAGCAGCAAGAGCAGCAGCAGCAGCAGCAACCAGCCGGTCATCATGGGGATAGTGAATCCCAACATCAGAAGCAGCACCAAGATGATGATGATCAGCAGCAGCAGCAGCAGCAGCAACAGCAGCAGCAGCAGCAGCAAGATAATTATAGGGGATCTAAGACAGTATTCTCTCTTAAGAAGCCAACCCTCCTCCCTAAGTCCCTCCATTACCGCCCGCAGACACAGGTCCGCCTGCTGCTGCTGTTGCTGCTGCTGTTGCTGCTGTTGCTGCTGTTGCTGCTGCTGCTGCTGTTGTATAATGTGTTCTGCTGCTTGCGATTTGCGGCTGCTGCTGCTGTTGCTGCATTTGCTGCATCATTGCTGCTGCACGGTTATAGCTATTCCTTCAGCCCTTTCTGCTGCTGCTGCTGTTGCTGCTGCTGCTTCTTTCCCTCCTCTTACACCTTTTGCTGCTGCTGCACCTACTGCAACAACAACAACAGCACCAGCAACAACAGCAAAAGCAGCAGCAGCAGCAGCAAAAATAAATAAATATAAATTTGCGGTGTACGTACACCTCAGGAGTGGCGAGTTAAATATCGATGCGGAGGAGCATTACATTGTACTACCTTTGCTGCACAAGTTAGTTTATTTATTTATTTATTTATTTATTTTATTTATTTTATTTATTTTATTTATATATTTATTTATATTTAATTATTAATGTAATTATTGATGTATTTATTTTTATATTTGCTGCTGTATTTTTTTTTTCTTTTTTTTTCTTCTTTTTCCTTTTTTATTTTTTTTATTTATTTATTTTATTTCTTTTTTGTGTTTTCTTTGCTGCTGTACCTCCTGCCTCCTGTTGCTGTTGTTTCCTCTGTGTGCTGCATTTGCTGCTGCATTTGCTGCACTTGCTGCTGCATTTGCTGCATTTGTTGCTGTTGCATTTGTACTGTTGCATGCACTGGTTGTTCTTTTCCTTTTAGGTTTGCTGCTGCTGCTGCTGCTGCTGCTGCTGCTGCATTTGTTTTGCTGCTCGATTTGCTCCTATTGCCCGTGCATTTGGTGCATCTCCTGCATTGCTGCTGCTGCTATATCTGCATTTGCTGCTGCTGCTGTGTTTGCTGCTGCTGCTGCTGTTGCTGCAGACATTTGGGGCTGAGGTAGCGCATGCATTAGCTTTATGGTATAGACAGCGTGTCTCCTCTGAGGGTATTGTCCCTACAGAGGCGGAGATACAGATGCATGCAGCAGTACTTGCTGCAGCAGATAATAAAAAAAAGGGAGACACAGATGCAGCAGCAACAGCAGCAACAGCAGCAGCAGCCGGAGGAGAAGAAGAAGAAGGTGCTGCTGCTGGGTCTGGGTCTGGTGCTGCTGCTGCTGTTGCTGCTGCTGCTATCGAGGCAGATGCAGATAGAACCCCACAGAAACCAGCTAAGCTTTCTCCTGCTTTTGTTGCTACTGCAGCAGCAGCAGCAGCTGCTGCTGCTGCTAGCTCGGCAGCCGCAGCAGCAGCAACGCCAGTCCTTAAGGCAGCAACCCCTAAGATAGATATCTGTGGGGCGGGCCTCGAGTTGGGGCCTCCCTTACTTAAGAAGGGGAAGGAGCAGCAGCAACAGCAGCAACAGCAGCAGCAGCAGAACCAGCAGCAGGAGGATACCCCGCAGCAGCATTGCGAGGAACCAGCAGCACCAGCAGCAGAAACTGCAACGGTGGCTCCTTCCTCTGCTGCTGCTGCTGCTGCAGCCGGTGCAGAAGCCGTCATGCAGAAGTCGGAAGTTGCTGCTGCTTCTGCTGCTGATGGGGGTGCAGCAGCAGAAGGCACTGCATGCGCTGCATCTCCAAAGGCAGAAGATGCTGCTGCTGCTGCTGCTGCTGGGGAGGAAGACAATGTGAAGGGGCAGCAGCAAGAGCAGCAGCAGGAGCAAAGTAGATCTTCAGCAGCAGCAGCTGCTGCTGCTGTTGCAGAAGCAGGCCAAGGATCTGGTAGTCAAGATGACCAGCAGGAGCAGGATTCATCGCAGCAGGATCAGCAGCAAGAAGATGATGAGCAGCAGCAGGAAGAAGAGGAGCAGCAACAGCAACAGCAGCAGCAGCAGCGGCGTGTGCTGCTACGCCGCAGCAGCAGACCACCAAGACGATCATCACCAGCAGCAGCTGCTGCTCAAGGGCCCAACAGCCCTCGTATACATACAGGAAATAATAATGCTTCTTATCATGCAGACAAACAGGTTAATCTTGCTGCTGCTGCTGCTGCTGCTGCTGCTGCCGTTCGTGTAGTTGATGGGTTCCTTCATGTTTAGATGTATTCACTTCCATTGGGATAGTATCGTACAAGTGTCTGGGGTTTAGGGTTTATAAGGGTTTAGGGTATACAAGGGTTTAGGGTTTAGGGTTTAGGGTTTAGGGTTTGTGCAGGAATGGCGAGCACGTTTCTATGTGGGCCCCAAGAGATGCATGCGAACTTTTAGTGCAAAACTTTATGGCTTTGATAAAGCAAGGGACAGGGCGCATGCATTTATTAGATATATACAAGTAAGGGTCTAGGGTTTAGGGTTTAGGGTTTAGGGTTTTGGGTTGGTGAGGGCAAGAGAAAGAGAGCATGCATGTCTATCCTATACATTCCGAGGGTTTAGGGTTTAGGGTTTAGGGTTTAAGAATTTATTTTGTTTTTGCTGCTGCAGCTACACGGGCGGCTGCCGAGTGCGTGGGGACGTCGCGGTGAGGGTGTAGAGGGGGAGGCGCCACAGCAGCTGCAACAGCAGCAACAACAGCAGCAGCAGCATGGACCTGCGAGTCCCGGTGGCAGCAGCAGCAGCAGCAAGGGCCACAAAGGGCAGCAACAAACCCTGCGAGATGCAGCAGCAGCAGCAGAACAGCACCGACCAGGAAAGAGGCGCTGCACTGATTCTGCTGCTGCTGCTGCTGCTGCTGCTGCTGGTTCTCGCAGCAGCAGCAGAGATCAGCAGGTGGCATCGCGTGCTCAACGCCATCAGCAGCTGCTGCTGCAGCAGCTACAGATGCAGCATCTCCCGCTGCAGCAGCAACAGCTGTTGCTGCAGCAACAACAGCAGCAGTTGCTGCTGCTTGTCTCGCAGCAGAAGGCAGCGACGCTGCATGATTCCTCAGTCGACTGTGAGCATAAACCCTAAACCCTAATCTCTAAACCCTAATCCCTAAACCCTAGACCCTAAATAGTAAATAGCAGTAGGATTCGTTAGCAGCAAAAGGAGAGACAACTGCAGCGATTAACACAGGGTTTAGGGGTTTTGCATTCTAGGGTTTAGGGTTTAGGGTTTGGGGTTTGGGGTTTGTGTGTTAAGGGGCGGACTGCGAGGCGGGTGCATCTAGTGATGGCAGTGGTTTGTCTCCACTGCAGCAGCAGCAGCAGATGAGCAGCAGCAGCAGCGAGGGGTGCGGCTTAAGCGACAGCAACAGCTGCAGCAAGACACGTAAGAGCAAAGCAGCAGCAGCAGCAACAACAGCAGCAGCAGAAGGTCGTTGGACCAGCAGCAGCAGCAGGCATGCGCTTTCTACTGCAGCAGACCGCAGGATTTATCCCTTTCACGGCAGCAGCAGCAGCAGCAGCAGCAGCAGCAGCGAGGTGATTGTGCTGGAGCAGTTCCTAAGGGACTGTGCTGTTCAGGCTTTAGGCGCCTTTCGCAGGCGACAGCAGCAGCAGCAGCAGCAGGAGGAAGCAGCAGCTGCTAAACCAGCAGCAGCAGCAGCTTCTGCTGCTGCTGCTGCTGCTGCATGCGGCCTTTGCGAGGGCGGTGGCTGCCCTAGCTGCAGCAAAAGTTACTTTAGGCTGCAGGAGCCGCTGCCTATGTCCAATAGGTATAGCAGCAGTTCTGCTGCTGCTGCTGCTGCTGCTGCTGCTGCAGGCAGGGGGCCCGGGGGGCCCCTTAGAAGGGCCCTTTATAGAGGACTGGGGGGACATCTGTCTTCCCTGGAGGAGGACCTTGTTGCCCTCCTTAACATGCCAGCAGCAGCAGCAGCAGCAACATCTGCTGCAGCATTAACTGCCGCTGGAGATGCAAAGACAGGCACGTTGTCGTCACAGCAGCAGACTGCAGCAGCAGCAACAGCAGCAGATGCAACTGGCATGAACGGGGATGGATCTCCTGCAGCAGCAGCAGCAGCAGCAGCAGCAAAAGCTCGCAGCGTCTGCTGCCGCCTATTAACTGCCAGCAGCAACCAGAGCAGCGCCGTGCTGCCCTTCCATGAGCATCTTGCTGCTGCTGCTGAGGCGCAGCACATTTTAAGCGCCAAGATGGAGCAGCAGCAGCAGCAGGAGCCGCAGCAGCAGCAGAATAACGGTGCAGCAGCAGCAGCAGCAGCGCCTGCAGGAGGTGGAGGCCCCTCCTCCCCCCTCTTGCTGCTGCCGCCTGAGGTATCGGTGTTTATGCAGCAGGCTGTGGGGTTAGTAGCAGCAGCAGCAGCAGTATCCCAATCTTCCCTTGCTGCTGCTTTCCCAGGCATGCAGCAGCAGCTGCAGCAGCAACCCAACAAGCAGGAAGAGGGACAGCAGCCGCAACAGCAACAGCAGCAGCAGCAGCAGCAGCAGCAAAACGTTACTGCGGACGGTCTATGGGACAAACTGATGGGCTCTTGTGAGGCAACTCTTACTGCATGCAAGGCATCAATAACAGCAGAGCAGCAGCAGGAACCTACTGCAGCAGCAGCAACAGCAGCAGCAGCAACAACAGCAGCAGCAGCAGCAGCAGGAGAGGCAGAAGCAGGAAATCCATTGTTATTAAGGATGGGGGGTTTGTCTTCTGTTGTTACTTCTCTTGTTTATACAAACTTTATTACTTTGCTGCAGTTAGCAGCAATGTCCCAGCAGAAGCAGCAGCAGCAGCAGCAACTGCAGCAGCAGCAACAGCAGCAGCAGCAGCAGTCGTCTGACAAACAGCTCACAGGCATCTCTGCTGTCGCGGACGGTTCAGCAGTACAACAGCAGCAACAACAGCAGAAGCAGCGGCAGCAGCAACAGCAGCAACAGCAGCAGCAGCGGCAAGCGCAGCAGGAGTTGTGGGACTTGCATGCAGCATTTCAAAAGTTTGTCGGGGTATTTACATCAGCGCTGCAGCAGCAGCCGCAGCAGCAGCAGCAGCAGCTGCAGCAGCAGCAGCAGCAGCAGAAGCCGAAGCAGCAGCAACGGCAGCAGCAAGTGGGTGACTCAGCGTCTTCCACAGCGCCATTGGAGCAGCAGCAGCAGCAGCAGCAACAGCAACAGCAGCAGCAGGGAGAGAAGCAACTGCTGCAGCTGCTGCAGGAGCTGCTTGCCAACGGCACTGCCCCTGTGCAGCAGTCCCCTGCTGCAGCTGTAGTGCAGCAGCAGCAACAAAAGCAGCAGCAGCAGCAGCAGCAGCAAAAGCAGCAGCACGCCTTAACAGGAGCCCCTGGGGTGCTCCTGGATGCCAACGTAAAGCAGCAGCAGCAGCAGCAGCAGCAGCAGCAGCAGGTGCCTCCTGCATTGATGAAGACATCTAAGAATCGGCGTAATCAGCAGCAGCAGCAGGAGCTGTTATCTCTGCTGGAGCAGCACTGTGATCTGCTGCAGCAGCAGCTGCAGCAGGAGCAGCATCTACAGCAGCAGCAACAGCAGCAGCAGCAGCAGCAGGAGAGAGTATTAGATGATGATATAAGTAGCTTCTTTGCTTCCTCTGGTGTTATTGATGCTGCTTCCTTCCTTATGCTGCAGCAGCAAGGGCCTCTCCCTTCATTAAGCGAACTTAGTAGATTCGTGCTGCACAGCAGCAGCAACTAACTGCAGCAGCAGCAGCAGCAGCAGCAGCAGCAGCAGCAGCAGCCGGTAGAGGTGCAGCAGCAACAGCAGCAGCAAGTATGTTTGTATGAACGGAGACGCTCTTGGGTGTATCTGCAAACACTAAGAGAAGGAGAACTGCAGCAGCAGCAGCTGCTGCTGCTGCAGCAACAGCAGCAGCTGTCAGCAGCAGCAGCATCAATTGCTGCTGCTGCTGCTGCTGCATGCATGCATGCATGCATGCATTTAAGATATGATTATTCGGCCCCGCTGTTGTGCCGTTTGTTGTTTATTTTGTTGTATATTTATTGTGTATATAAATAAAATAAATAAATAAATAAATATAAATATATAAATATATTTATTTATTTATTTATTTATTTATTTATTTATTTATTTATTTAATTTATTGTAGTGTTTGTTTTTGTGCAAAGTCACCAACTTTCTTTCTTTCTTTTCTTTTTTTCTTCTTTTCTTCTTTTTGTTTATTTTATTTATTATTCTATTTTATTATTTTATTATTATATGGTTATATATATATATATATA